TCCTGAGGGCTGGGGTAATGGGCATGTCCCACTACACATAGCTGGAAAATGACTAATATCACAGTTAGTCCAGTCTTTGTGCTCAGAGAAAATCCTTAACACACCTAATTTATAGTTGGAATAAAACTTCTTGCCAGACAACAGATTTATATAGATAGCAAACTATAATGCATATTTATAATATACATGCCACTCTTTTGTGTTTGTATATACATAGAGCTTATGTATGCACAAAATATCTATCATTAAAGCAAATAATGAGCGCTCTTTACAAGACAGGCTCCCTCGCCTACTTAGCTCTCCAGTCTTACTCTGTAGACCCAGCATGCCTTAAACTCACAGTGTAGCAGGTATTCAGGCTTGAACCACCACTCCTGGTTTCTCATTTTGCTCTGAGGTATGTGAATGTGGGGGGGGGGGCGGTAGTATCTCCTATAGAACTGAGGATGGCCATGAACTTGTGATTTTCCTGTCTCTAGCTTCTCAGTACTTCAGTCCGCAAGAGCCAGGGTTTACGCGCATTCACCCACTGCTCCTTCTGTTTCTTTTCTTGCTCAGCTGACCTTGAGCTCCTGGGTTCTGGCGATGCTCCTGCCTCAGGCTCAGGTTCTCTGCAGCACTGTATCCAACTCTTACGTGTCTTGGTCATTTTTTAATTAGTCACCCATTGAAAACAGGTGAGCTGTGTTAGTACTGGGCACAAACGTGTGGAATGTTACCGCAGCTGGAGAATTCCACAAAGTCAGGTCGAAACACTTAAGTTCATCTCTGATCTGTTGTGTTTGGCAAGCTGTTGTTTCCCTGATCCAGCTGCAGCTTCGCCCACAAACAAGAACTGCTTCTAACTCCCCTCCCCCTCACCCCTCTCCCTTTAAATTTCCAATCCTTGCATTTTTTGGATCTAGTTTTACATCTTATCTCACAAAAAAAAAAGCCATCAGATGACCTTTAATCCCACCCAGTTCCCTGCATCCTGCTCAGCCTTACCCTCTCTTTGGTGCCATGGAAAACATCTTGCTGTGGGTGCCTCTCCCTTTGTCAGCCTCTATTCTCTTTCTTCGGGCTGGATGTGAGCGTGGAGGCTTACATGCTAACAAGCCTGCATCCTGAAACACCGTTGGCACTCTTCTGTGCTCTCAGCGTCCCATGACTGGTCAGCCGTCATCCTGAAACACTGTTGGCTTCCGTGCTCTCAGCGTCCCATGACTGGTCAGCCGCCATCCTTTCCGGTTCATTCTTTGACAGCCTCCTCTACTCTGTTCAATTCCCTGTAAATGAAATGGTTCTCACCGGGCCGGTGAGATGCTCAGTGGGTGGGTAAGACCTGCCAGGTGGAAGGAGGAAACAGATTCCTTCAGGTCGTCCTCTGGCTTCTACGTATGTGTCCCAAACAGAAAAAAATGAAAGGTTTTTACCTGGCCGTCAGTCATCTTTCTTTCTAAATGAACCTGGCGAGTTTCAGTCTCATGTTTCTTTGTTGTGTTGCTTTGAATTTGTTTCAGCGTCTTCTTGCGTAGCTCTGGTTGGCCTGGAACTCGCCAGGTCAGGCTGACTAGAACTTGTATCTGGCCCACCTCTGCATTCAGCGTGGCTGCATTAGAGGTTCCAAGTGTGCCGCACCAAGCTTTTACTTTGATTTCACTGAAGAATTTAGTTAACTGACTGGTCTATAAAAATCCCTTCCTGTTGAGTATGGCTGTGCCGTAGGCCTGTAATCCTAAATTTGGGAGGTAGAGACATGGAGATCCATAATTCAAAGCCAACTTTAGGTACATGAGGAATTCAAGGAAAGCCTGGGCTACAAAAGATATATCTAGTAGAGAAGCAAGCAAGCAAGACAGGAATTGTTTTGCATGTTTTTAATCGCAGCACTCAGAAGCAGAGGCAGTTAGATCTCTGTGACTTTTAGGACAGCCTGATCTACATAGTGACTTCCAAGACAGCCTGACTGTAGAGAAACCCTGTCCCAAAAACCTTTAAAAAAAAAAAAAAAGGCCAGATTGACTTTGAGAGCTGCAGACCTAGAGTTTCAGGTCAGCCTAGGCTACCTACTGAAATAGGAAGACTCAGTCAGTCTAAAATAAACAAACGCAAAACCCCCTTCCCAGACACCAGAACAAAACGCCTCCTCATTTTCTCTGGCCCTCTGGTCCCTGAGCAGGGGCTTTTTGCCTTGCACGCTAGAGTGTATCTGTACACTTCTTGCCCTGGAGATGGCTCAGCGGGTAAAGGCCTGTGCTGCCAGCCCTGCTGGCCAGAGCTCAATCCCGGGACCCACGTGGTGGACGGAGAGAACAGACTCCCCTGACCTCCCCACCTGTGCACATGTCCACTATAATTTCCAAATAGAAGAGAAATGTAACGTTTTTAAAAACAAAAGATACCGAGAGACCACTTTTGTCTAGTGAATAAAATGTTCAAAATTAACATTTTTAGGAACTGGAGAATCGGCTGCTCAGGGCTGAGAGCAGTCAATGTTGTTGCCAGACCTCAGTTTCTCACCCAGCCTCAGCATCACGTGAGCTCAAGCTTCAGGGAATCTGAAGTCCTCCGGCCTCTCCAGACACCAGACACTTGATATCTCTCTCTCTCTCTCTCTCTCTCTCTCTCTCTCTCTCTCTCATACACACACACACACACACACACACACACATACACAAAGTAATTTTTAAAAAATTAAAATTTTTATTCTGATAATTTTCCGTTGGTTTGCAGTAAATAATTGTTTTGGATGATAAAAACAAAACAGAACAAAACAAATCTACCTCTAAAACATTAAAAGAAATAATTGAGATTGTTAAAGCATATTAAGATTATTAAATTAAGAAATGTTCTTAGTAGTGTAACTTCATACTTTTGAAGAGACAATGGAACTGTGCTGAAAAATAAGCAACGATAAAGTGCTGAGGGAGAAGCAGTCGCATTTTCACAAGGCCTGCCTGCCTGCTGCCTCCTGCCTGCTGCCTCCCTGCTGCCTGCCTCCTGCCTGCTGCCTGCCTGCTGCCTGCCGCCTGCCTGCTGCCTGCCTCCTGCCTGCTGCCTGCCTCCTGCCTGCTGCCTGCCTCCTGCCTGCTGCCTGCTGCCTGCTGCCTGCCTCCTGCCTGCCTCCTGCCTCCTGCCTGCTGCCTGCCTCCTGCCTCCTGCCTGCTGCCTGCCTCCTGCCTCCTGCCTGCCTCCTGCCTGCTGCCTGCCTCCTGCCTCCTGCCTCCTGCCTGCCTCCTGCCTCCTGCCTGCCTCCTGCCTCCTGCCTGCTGCCTGCCTCCTGCCTCCTGCCTGCTGCCTGCCTCCTGCCTCCTGCCTGCTGCCTGCCTCCTGCCTCCTGCCTGCTGCCTGCCTCCTGCCTGCTGCCTGCCTCCTGCCTGCTACCTACCTTCCTGCCTGCCTGTCTGCCTGCCTGTCTTTTCTCCCTTCTTCTTGCTATTGAGACAGGGTCTCTCTACATTGATAACCCTGGCTGTCCTAGAGTTCGCTATTTGGACCACACTGGCCTCCAGCTCACAGAAATCTGCCTGCTTTGGCCTCCAGAGTGGGAGATAAAAGATGTTACAATGCCAGCCACATCACTACTGTATCTTGATTAGGCTTTAAAAAAAATTTAAGTAGCTGGGCAGTGGTGGCACATACCTTTAATCCCAGCACTCAGGGAGGCAGAGGTAGGCAGATCTCTGTGAGTTCAAAAAGAAACACACAGAGAAACCCTGTCTTGAAAAACAAAACAAAGAATTAAAAATGAGTGTGTATGTATACGTGTGATGTGTATGTTTGTGTTTGCGTATGTGTGATGTGTGTATACATATGATGTGTATGTTTGTGTTTGCATATGTGCGATGTATATGTATACGTATGATGTGTATGTTTGTGTTTGCGTATGTGTGATGTGTGTATACGTGTGATGTGTATGTTTGTGTTTGCGTATGTGTGATGTGTGTATACGTATGATGTGTATGTTTGTGTTTGCGTATGTGTGATGTGTATGTATACGTGTGATGTGTATGTTTGTGTTTGCGTATGTGTGATGTGTATGTATACGTGTGATGTGTATGTTTGTGTTTGCGTATGTGTGATGTGTGTATACGTATGATGTGTATGTTTGTGTTTGCATATGTGCGTGCACAAGTACATTCCTACATGTGCGTGTGGAGGCTGGAGAACACCCTTGAGTGTCATCTTCGGGAGCACTGAAACTCCTTTGAGATACTGAGATGGGTGCTTGCTGGCTTGCAGGTCATCAGTTGGGTTAGACCGGCTGACAGAAGCCCCCGCAATCCTCCAGTCCCTACTTCTCAGTGCTGGGTATAAGTGTTCACCACCGTACCCAGAGTTCTCAGGGTCTGTGGGGACAACCATGGGATGAAATGAGCAGCCTCTTGCTGGAGGCAGTGAGGGGTGAGAAAGAGTGTGCTTGGCATGAGAGGCAGAAGTCAGAAGGTAAATTAGGGAAGAGGACTCCTGGTCCAACATTGCCTTCTTGGCAATCAGGGTACCTGGGTGTCCTGCGTTATAAATCCCTACTGGGATTAAGGTGTGGGTCACAATACCTTACTCATGACTCAGAAGAAGAAAAGGGAAGAGGAGCAGAAGAAAATTTAAATGTGAGGCCTTAGCATCGACCCAGTCCACCCTCTGCTCTGGGGATCACCCTCCCTCACCTTCTGCTTTTTCACCTTCTCCCTTGTTGAATAAACTTTGATTAGTGCTTGCTAAATTAACATTGGTAGAGGCTAGGGAGATGGTGCAGGAGTTAAGAGAACTGGTTGCTCTCGCGAGGACCAAGTTGGCACAGAACCACCTGTAACCTCACTCCCAGAGGATGTAATGCCCTGCTCTGGCCTCCGTAGGTACTACACACATGTGCACAGACATACATGCTGGTAAAGCACCCACATAAAACACAAATAAGAATTAAGAATAAGTTAGAAAAATAAGTAAAACTTCAGCATAGGTAAATTGATGTGTGGAATAGCTGTTCTTACTATACTGTGTTTGTTTCTCCTGTATAGAAAATTCTAATTTCGTTGGTTCTACTGGAAGAAGAGTTAAAGCTGAGATGCCGGACCACCCTAAAACAACCTCGGCATGGCAGTAGTGCGGCAGCTGGGCGTAACTATGCAAGCAGGAGTTGTCGCAACGTTCCTTGGATGGCTGTTAGGCACTCGAGACTGTTCTTCCTGCATTTTCTTTGACAAGAAAGTAATATAAATGGCAACAGACAGTGTCGAAGCACACGAGCCTGTCCGTATAACAATCTCCCACCTTTCTCTACGTGTTATTTTATTGTCATAATATTCATTATACATGGTGATGGGGTTCATAAAGATATTTGCATACAAACACATCGTGTACCTTGACTATATTTACACATATGTACATCATGTACAGTCACTATATTTTCATACATGTACATTACATGTATTGACTTTATTTGCACATGTATTCTCCTCTTTCTCTCCCTTTACCGTCCCTTTCATATACCCAGACAATTTCGATGCTGTTTTAATGACATGTACACGGGAGTGACTTTATTGCACATTATTCTTCTTACATATATTAAAAAGAAAATGAGTTCCTTAATATTATATTTATGTGTTTATTGGGTGTGGACAGGTTTCTCTTTGTGGTGGTAGTCTGGGGAGCTCAGAGGACAACTTCCAAAAGCCTCCTTCCTTCCTTCTACCACGTGGGGCCTAGGAATCAAAGCAAGGCTGTCAGGCTTGGCAACAGCTCCTCTACCTGCTGAGCCATCTTACTGGCTCAAGAAAACTACTTTCTTTTAAAATGTATTGTTTTATTATTATTTTTAATTCATATATATATATATATATATAGTATATAGTATTCTGCCTGAATGTTTGCCTGCATGCCAGAAGAGGGCACCAGATCTTATTACAGATAGTTGTGAGCCACCAGGTAGTTGCTGGGAATTAAAAAACTCAGGGCCTCTGGAAGATCAGCCTCTTTACCTCTGAGCCGTTGCTCCAGGCCCCAGGAAACTGCTTTTTTAAGGACTGAGGATGGAGCTCAGTTAGTAGAGAGCTTGCCAATTGTGAGCAAAGCTCTAGGCTGATCACCAACACTGAGTAAAGTGAGAAATGATGGCAAAACACCTGACACCGCAACACTGGTACATGTCCATGCATGCTATCGCACACACGTGCTGTCACACACACATGCCATCACACACGCATGCCATCACACACATGCCATCACACACATGCCATCACACACATGCCATCACACACGCATGCCATCACACACAGCATCACACATGCATGCCATCACACATGCATGCCATCACACACACGCCATCACACACACATGCCATCACACACAGCATCACACATGCATGCCATCACACACACGCCATCACACACACGCCATCACACACACATGCCATCACACACAGCATCACACATGCATGCCATCACACACATGCCATCACACACACATGCCATCACACACAGCATCACACACACATGCTGTCACACACGCATGCCATCACACACACATGCCATCACACACATGTCATCACACACATGCCGTCACACACGCATGCCATCACACACAGCATCACACACGCATGCCGTCACACATGCATGCCATCACACACATTCCATCACACACACATGCCATCACACACACATGCCATCACACACACATGCCATCACACATGCCATCACACACACATGCCATTACACACAGCATCACACATGCATGCCATCACACACATGCCATCACACACACATGCCATCACACACAGCATCACACACACATGCTGTCACACACGCATACCATCACACACACATGCCATCACACACGCATGCCATCACACACATGCCATCACACACGCATGCCATCACACACACATACTATCAGACTCAAGTGGAGCAGGAGAGGCAGGAGGATGAAAAAGTTCAAGGTTACTTGAGGCTACACAGTTTGAGGACACCCTGCACTACAGGAGACCTGTCTCAAGTAAATACTACTGGAAATCGGGCTGAGTGCAATGAATATACTTTTAATCCTAGCGCTGTAGATGCTGAAGCAGGAGAATTGGGAACTTAAGACCAGTCTGGGCTATAGTAGACCCTGTCTTGGGGTGGGGGGAAGGAAAGAAGAAGGCATGGTGGCACACTCCTTTAATCCCAGCACTCAGGAGGCAAAAGCAGAAGGATCTCTATCATTGTGATTCTAGTCTGGTTTAGAAACCCTGTCTTTAAAAAAGAAGAAGAAGAAGATCAATTGCATTGACTAGCTTTTCAAAGTAAAGGAAAAAAAACCTATAAACTATTAATTGCTCTCATTGTATGCCGTTTTAATTTAAGGCTAATAAATATAAGTGTGTTTTTATGAGCAATATCCATTTAAGGTTATAAAAGTAAATGTAAAATACTAATTGTAGGTTCTTTTATTTCAAAATGGAAATGTTCATTTATTTCTCAATCTTTCATGCAATTTTAAGCCGATAGCGTAGAGGGAAAATATAATTGAAATTGTATAATTGAAATAATATTGTATGCATGTATGAACCTAAAGAATAGTTTTTTAATATGTCTATTTCGTGTGTGTTCGTGTGTATGTGTATGAGACACACCTGTCACCAGACTGATGCAGAAGTTAAAGAACTTGCTAGAGTCTGTCTTCCTTCCACTATGTGCTTGGACAAAAGCACCTTTTTCTCAGCTTTTTCCTGTCTGTGTTTTTGTCTTTTGCTTTTTTCTGAGACAGGGTTTCTCTGTGTAGCCCTGGTTATCCTGGAACTCACTCTGTAGACCAGGCTTCAAACTCAGAGATCTGCCTGCCTCTGTCTCCTGAGTGCTGGAATTAAAGGTGTGCATTAACTAGCCACCCTTAATTTTTAAAGAATTTTGAGGTTATTAAAGAATTTGGCAGGTTGTAGTGATTCATGTCTGCAGGATGTGCCCAAGAGGCAGAGGCAGGAGGATCGTGAGTCTAAGGCAAGACCAACCTGGGCTACACCTACAATAAAGATACATTGTTTTCATGTTTGAATCATAAAAGAATAAATAGAAGATATTCTATTCTTTAAAAAAAGAATTTGACCATCTTCAACACCACCAGAAAAGAAAAAAAAAACCTTGAAAATAACAAATCTGGCACAACCATGGGTTTTTTGTCTTGCAGTCAGAGCTTATTAGAAGACTTGGAGCTGGGTGTGGTGGCTCATGCCTGTAACCCCAGAGTTTGGGAAGCTGAGGCATGAGGAGTGTCTTGAGATTGAAGTTAGCTTGGGCAACATGATAAGTTCTCAGCCTGTTGGGGCTACAGATAAGACCTCTTTGATGAGGTCTTCGGTATTTCTATTACATATAATACACATAGGAAGTGCTTCATAATAAACGTATTGGCTAGCCTATTGGATTAGTTTATGTGCCATTAAATCATGATGAAAATTTTATTTTTTAAGTTATGCTGATTGCTTTAAGAAATGATTTTCAAATTGCCCTCTTAAACTTTATCTGCTCACCTAATTCATATATTCCATGAAATTTCAAGAGATGTGTAAAGGAGTCATGTACATGGAGTTTTCAGTCTTCCTCACACTGTGGCCTTTGAATGTGGTTCCTCATGCTTTGGAGCCCCCCGACTATGAGATTATTTTCATTGCTACTTCATAACTGTGATTTTGCAGCTGTGAAGATTCATCATGTAAATATGTGTGTTTTCTGATGGTCTTAACAACCTCTGTGAAAAGATTGCCCGAACCACAGGGTCGCGACCCACAGGTTGAGAACCACTACCTTGTAAGACCTGAAATTCTGAGGAATAAGATAAATGCTGGTGGTAAATTTTTTGTAATATTGGTTGTTTGAGGGGGACAAGGAACAGAAAAAGAATAAGAAAATTTATTTTAAGGGATGAAGAAAAATAATGACCTCAGGCTAGTTTTCAGGAAGATGTGGCTGAAGTGAAGTGTCATTAGTGGGCTAGCTCGTGTGGATAGTCACGTGCTTTATTTAGGATCAGGAAAAAGCTGAGGTGAAGAGTTAGTTATAACAAAGCAAAAGGTTCCGATGAGACCTTTTCTCCTGTGACAAGACAGAATATAGCTTTCTGCTTTATTTTACCCAAAACTTAGGGTGGGTAATCTGATAACGTCCACAACTTTCCCGTAATATCTTTAAAAAGCAAGGAAAGGAGGAAGGATGGAAAGCAAAAAGAAGAGAGGGCCAGTGTGGCGGTCCATCTTTAATCTTAGTACCTGGAAGGCAGAGGCAGTGGCATTTCCAAGCAGTCCAGGCCAGCAGACCCTACACGTTGAGTTCAGGCCAGCCAGGACTACACAGTGAAATCTCTCTCTCTCTCTCTCTCTCTCTCTCTCTCTCTCTCTCTCACATGGTTAAGAGTGTAGAGCTCCTGCTGGAGACTTGAGCTGTGTCTACCACCAATGTCAGATTGTTTCTAGCTACCTGTAAGAGCAAATCCAGCTCCAGGGGATCTGGGACCACATCGGGCACCTGCCGGCACCTGCACACACCCTCCCCTGCCTAATTTAAACAAACAAAAAAGGATCTAAACATCAAGAAGCCCTGGCTCCTAACTCCTGGTTTCCTCTCTAGTGCATTCCTGTATTTTCTCTATGCGTGCATTTTAAAGCGACCTACTCGCTGGCCTTAGGAAGGCCTACATTTATCTTTAAATTTTATCAGAAAGAAAGAAGGCTGATAAATAATTCTTAATATAAAAAGACAGTTTACCGGGGAAGATTATGAAATTTCATTTCCCAAAGATGATAAAGCGATGGATATTTATCGACTTTCTCCCTAACAGCTCGGATTAGGTGACATTTTCTTGGAAGCAAAAAGTCTCCTTCAAAGATTTAACTTTTCAAGTAATAATGGGATTTGACAAGATAAAGTATTTCTAATAGAAATGAAGAAATCCTATTATTTTTCTCTCACATAGGTTAACTTTATTTTCAAGTGAACTTGGAACTGAAAATATATTAGGGAAATGTTTTCTTTGTAATTTAATATTACTAAGCAAAATTATTTTCTGAGGCTTGCTGTATGTGGCTCCCACGCACTTTCAGAGCCCTGGCGTGAGCTTGTGTCCAGCAATGTGTGTCTGTCTGGGCAGGCCAGTATTCTAGCTTCCCCTGAAAAGATTCCTTCACAAGTGTGTTCAACGTTGACTAAGACAAGAGCACCGGCTGGAGATGAGCAGGGCGCAGATGCAGGCTGGAATCAAAGGAGG